AGGCTGTTTTGCAGTGCTGCAATACCCCAATATACACAGCACGAGACTTGTACCTAGTACTGATATTCTCAGCGCTCAGAATTTTACAGAACTAATCCAATGCTTTAGTATTATTAATATTTACTTTAAAATGAATCTGACATCCTGCATTTCTCTTAACTGCAGACCAATTGCTTTCAAATTTCCTTTTTTTTAAGTCATTGCTCAAAAATTAGCTAGTCTATCTTTACCTGGAGTATCTGTGTTTTGTTAATGAGATAATTTAACTTGAAATTCTGCATACAGAGGCCACAGAACTCCCATTTTGACGGCTTTTTTCAACTGTAATGGTGGTTTTCCTCGACAACTCTTGACTTCAAGGTTATGGTCCCAAAAAGTTCTTAGAGGAATTGTTAAACATCCYCCCCCSCCCCCCCCCCCCCCCCCCACACACACACAGACACACTTGAAAAAATACAATTTTATCATGGTTTTCTAGCTGCCTCCTGACAGGTACAAGAAACAACAATTTACACCTGCAGCCAGTAGGTATAGCCAATCTTCCTGTCCCAGCTTTGGGAGAACTCATTTCCAAAGCTGGAGAGAGCTGTGCTACACTTGGCAGGAAGAAGAGGAGGAAGCAGTGCAAGGACCACCGCAGCGCAGACACACGAGTCTGCACAGGCTCCGTATTTCCTAGATTTTTGCAAGGACTGAAACACAGCACCTTCYTATTTGCTCCACAGCACATGAAAGATCACAGCAAAAGCCACCAGCTGCTGGCGCGCAACTTGGGCTGTGCGAGAGATGAGTCTGGCTACTCCCACCTTTATCTCCAGTCTGATCCTGTTGCCTTCTGCAGCGCTGCAAGTCCAACCTGTTGCTCTCCAGTAAGAGGAGAGGTAAGAGGTAACCCCCCAATTTACCACCTTCAGTTATTTATCATTGTCCCATGTGAGCAGACACACAGCTCAAGAGTTCTCCTCACAATTCACTCTAAAGCTAATGATGTTTCCGAACTTTACTATGACACAGCTCTGCAGGTGTTCTTCTGGCCCGGCCTTCACTGTTTAGTGCACAGATATCCCATTAAAACCAGAGAGAGAGGAAGTCTTCCCTTGCATATTCCATTGAGTTTAATATTCACAGCCRCATGCAATTGCAATACAGCTTAAATCAGGGACATCCAAGCAGCTCTCCATTAGGACATGCAGTCTTAGCAAGGACACATGTTCTTTGATGCACTGCCACATACTGTCGACTAAAAACAGGAGAGAGAGAGAGAGAGCGCGCGCGCGCAGGCGCGTGCGCAGCATGAGAAAGCATGAGAAAAAACTAGTTTGCATTGGCCAGATGGCTAGATAATTAAAAGTCAAAGTACAAAATTATCTTATTTAATTGAGTTCATGAAAAAACATTCCAAACAGCTCAAATGGAATCTGTCAGGAGAGCTCATCTCCTAAAGCAGTTGAAGTAGGAACACAGAATTCTGAACAGAAACAAGATGCACGCAGTCTCATTCTCYTAACTCCACAGTGACTACAGAGGAAGACAAACTGCCAGCAGATTGAAAAACTAATAGACTGCATGCTTGGAAAAAGGCAAAACACATGGAACTTTGGTGCATCTCAGTACATAGCCAAAGAAACAAAGCGAGTAGCAAGGAATACACCCCAGAAATGAATGCTRTCTTGTTGCATTAGTGGCTCTATAATTCAGAGCTTTAAAGTTTCCAAAACATCAAAAAAGTCAAATCTAAAATGCATGAAATAGTTCTATTTTATGTTGCCTTAGCCTTTTCCTAACTGAAAGGTCACTGCCACATTGAGAATAACTTTCCAAAAATTTCAGAAAATGCACCAATACCTTCTGGTTCAATAGCTTAACATGTACACAAGCAATGTCCACATATGCAAACACAGGATGCAAGAAAAGTCACCACCACCCAGAAAGGAATTGGCTCCTWCAACATTTAATTAACTAACTGCTTCCTAGCCAGAGTCACCGGTAATCCCGGGAAGATCCTAGCAGGCTACCCATTAAGCACACTCATCAGGAAAAGCTTATTGGGATGTTCTAAGAGCAGCAGAGATTTACAGAGTGATAGATAAACAGATAWAATAAAAAGGAAATATTCTTCAGTTAATTCTTCTATGATAAACTGAAAGGAAAGTCTGTAAACAGTATCTAGAGTCTAGTCACTTAGGTTACTACACTGAAAACAAAGTACTGGCAGGCAACATGCTGCTCCTTCTATACTTCTACCTCTCTGCTCTCTAAATATATCTATAACCAAAGCAGAACTGAATTCCCATCTAGACCAAAAGCAGGAATGGAAACTGAGGAGTGCAGAAAGGCATAAGCAGAATCGTTTGTTATTCTGTTCTGAGGATAACAAGAAGAATCTACTGAAAGCCATGGCAGTCTTAATTGTCAATGTAGTTTTGTGCAGTTTTATGCATTTCTGGATTTTAAAATATTTTGTGGGAGCATTTTAGCCTTTTGCACTTTAATACAATAAAGTTTTCTTCACAAGCTGCAAAAAAAGCTTCCCAAACACACTGCTCTACCAGTATTTTTCACTCTGCTACGGAGAAACTACAGTGGTGCATCTTTAAAGACAGTGCAGTAACTCACTCGGATTTCATTTGAGTTTTGCACCAACTTGACAGCATTTTAGTTGATCTGTGACATGGAAGTTAAACTGCAACCCACAATCACTTCACATAAGCACCAGCTTATGAAGGAAAGGAAAATATTTCTGTGCACTCAACCAGCTGGACTCACCCAGAAATTTACCTGTCAAAGACATACACTGGCAATGCCTGGAAGGGAGAAACAGTTCTCAGAGGAAGAGCTCCTKCAAGGGTGACAGCACTGCAATTCTCTGAAGCTTTACCTTGGAATTCAATGCATTTGAAGTCAGTAAAAACCTGCAATTATTTCTACATTCTTCATCTCACAAAAATGAAACCGCTGCTCACAGGTTACCAGACTCAGAGCCTTCAGACCACTAGTTCAGACCTTTTCCAACTAGTAAATCATAGGAAAGCTCATTTGCTTTGCAGAAAGTGACTAAAAAAAAGGACACACCCCCCAAAYGCACATCAATCTGAAAGGCCACCAGACTTCTGCTTCAAGCTCAGACCCCACCTCCAGCAAGACCAACTTTAATAGYGGTGCTGCCCCACTGGCCCTTAGCTAAGATCTGCCCCCAAATGCCAAAGCAGCATTCGTCAGAGACGAGCAGTGGTGGCTCCTCTYGGTTCTCTCTCACTAGCACTGGAAGTCACACAAGTGACTTCACGAGTCCTTCACAATTTCACATGAGTCCTTCAACACCTCCCTTAAAGTCCAAATACAAAATACAGTGGACCAGGGAAAGAAAAGAAAATGGGTGGAAGAAAAAAAGGCACTTTTTTGACTCAGAGAGGCAGGTCTCATCTTAGATGTAAAGTTGGTAATTCCCATGGAAAATCCATCTCAAAAAAAAAAAAAAAAAAAAAAAAAAAAAAAAAAGAAACCAGACCAAAATAACACACCACACAAGACACATGCACGCTGGAGTTTCATTAGGGACAATATGTCATTTTTTCCCAAAAGACAAAAGAGACTTCACAGAAACAATCTGCACTTACAGCTCTCCATGCCAGTAAGATACAGACATTCACTCTACCCTCTTCCCTGGGCTCTCACATTCCATAAACCAGGGCACTGAACCTTGCAGAAGCCCATGCTCAGAATGTGTCTCCTAACTGCATTTTTAGAAATTGCTGTGCTCCATTATGAGTAAAGATCAAATTAGAACTGACACTTAAAGAAAGCCATACAAGTGATATTGAAAGCAAATAATGCCTATTAATCTTTTTTCTTCTTCTTTCAGAACCTCTACTAACCCCCAGCCACGTGACAAGATTTCTCTGCACAAAACTTCCTATTAAAAAAATAATAATAACCACTTGCCAGCAGSACAAGGGCGGGATCCTTCCCCACCGTGTAGCCCTAGAGAGGCCACACCTGAACACTAGGTCCAACTCTGGGCTCCCCAGGACAGGAGACCCACAGGTCTCCCACAGAACGGCAAAGGGCCATGAAGGTCACTGAGGGACTGTAGCATCTGCCCATCACGTGAGGAGAGGCTGAGCAGGCTGGGACTTCAGCCAGCAGAGAGCTAAATATCCATGCAAGTGCAGGGGAGAGAACTAGACTCCTCTCAGAATCCAGTGCCAGGACAAGAGATAATGGGCACAAACTGAAACACAAGAAATTCCATTAAACCCAAGGGAAAAAAAAAAACCCACACTTTTTTTTTTTTTTTTTTTAAACTCCCAGAGTGCTTGAGAACACCAGGGTGGCCCAGAGAGCTTGCAGATATTGAGATATTGAGAACTTAACGAGCCCTGGTCCTGAATAACCTGCTCAAAGTGACCCTGCTTTGAGCAGCTGGGTGTCGACTAGATCAAGAAGCCTCTTCCAAACTTGACTATTTTGCGATTTTGAGATTCAATGTTGAAACAGTGTACAAACAGATATGACTTAATTAGATTCTGAAGTTGTAGGAATGAGCCAAAATTAAGACTAGTGCGCAAGTCTGCTTTCCTTTTTCTTTAAAAAAAAGAAAAAAGATTAAGAATTTGACTGTGTTCCCAAATGAGAATCCCTAAGTTCTGTAGTTTCATGCATTTAATATTAGATATAAAACATAACCTGGATTCMTTTCTTCCTTTCTGCAGTATAAGAAATTGCAACTATAGCAACTGTATGGAGAAGATACAGTATTCAGCACCATTCCTAAAAGTCTTCACCATACTGCATCAGACCTGCAACCACGTATATTTGTTTCCCCTCCATGCAATAACAGTTTCCTATAAAAATTAAGTTTGAATTTGCAGCCTTTATATAAACTGCTCAATTCTATGGAAAACATGATTTAACTTAAATAAGAAACAAAATTGAGCATCCAATSCAACTATGAAATTTCTGAAGTACTACAAAGAAAAACCCGTGTGGTTTGAACCTACCTTTCTGCAATAATTTGACCTCCCCGTTTTCTTTCTTGATTTCATTCATTATTTTGTGCTTCTTCTTCTCTTTYTGCTTCTTATCCCTTTCTTTTATTTTGTCTTTGATTTGAGCTGCAATGCAAATATTTTACAATTAAGTGGGAATAGAAAACTTGAACTGTAATTGTCCCATGCACGTTTCATATTACTCTTACGCAAGCCCTATTAAGGGGATAAAAGGAGTTATGAGGAAATCCCAGGACTTATAGCAGAAAAGCTAATATTTATCTGTTGCGTAATCCAACATAAGCTTATTGAACCCAGACAAGTTTTGTTTCTGTTACACTGGAACTGCATGCGACGACTCAGCACTGACTATGCAGTCAAGAGAGCACGTTTTGCTTCCTCAGTAACACTACACTTTCCTCAGCTTCCTTCTGTAAGCAGCCCTCATTTCTTGAGATTCAATTTAAATGCATTAGATAGAAGGTGAGGAAAAAGGGAGACATGCAACAGTCTARGTTTGTACTTTCTTGCATGTGTGTAGGCACTAAAAGCTCTACATAGCCATCTCCACATACTGTAAACTTGATAGTGCTTTCAACTACCACATAGTTTGAAATGAACACGTCAACCAAATTTGTCACCTGCAAGATCATTTACATTAGTTTACGTGTTACACTAGTGCATTAACAACAGTAAGATRTAATTAGAGTCAAGTATGAAATGGAAAGGGAATGAATTACATCTAGTATTTGTCGAAAAAATAAAATATTTTTCACAGCAGATAAATACTCAGGTGTCTCCCTTGCTTGCCCCCAAATCTGCATCAGCAGATTCGGTGCTGTTTTCTACATGAAAATATCAGATCCCTTGGAATTCGTAGTTTCAAGGACTAATCTTTTTTAGACAAAATTAGTTTCAAGTCCATGCATTTAAGCCCAGGTAAAACTRATTTCTTCAGATTCCCTGCAACTAGTGCTTCACAAATGGTTTCTTGGTCTGAAACCATGTCCCTGCTGTAAATGTTTATTGAGCTYTTTTAACCTCTGGAAGATGAAATCTGACTTCCTGCTTTTACATAATGCTACCTCTTAGGTACCTAATACTTTCTCAGTAATATCACTGATAAACAATCCTAATGTTTAATTTATAGTACTTCCATTATAAGYCCCAGAAGGAAGCAAGGAGAAATCTAACTGCCTTTCCTCAAACATTCACCTTAAAGAAAAGCAGAAGACATCTTCACTTCTAACAGACTATAAAATTCATCAAAACTAAAAAGATCCTTCAGATCTAGGAGGCAATATATGGTGTTCTATATCTATTAACAACAGTTCACAAAAAAAAAAATTGCTTAAAAGATGCAGGGGGCTAACAGTAATCCACATAAGTGCTTACAGCAATATTTCCCCAGCACCCTTATCAGTCCCTTCTGGGAGTTTTCTAACAAAGCTACACAAATTGTTGAAAAAAGTTGGGAGAGAAAAAAAAGAAAACAAAAATGCAGTAACTGAGATGTGACTGACTATATGCAGACCAGGATAAGTAATGAAGAGAGGATAGAAACTATCCTGGCACAAAGATTATTAAGAATAAATTGTCCATGATTCAAACTATACAAAAATCTTTGATTCAGGCAACTAACAGGATCATGTTAAAAAACAGCCTAGCAGGTCAAGAGATGGAAAGGAGGTGGTCCATGCGCCTGTATGACAGGCRAGTTTCTCCTACACTCCAAACTAACTATAGACAGAATTCTTCTCCAGCCTGTTCACTCCTCTCCCTCCCCTCCAYGAAGTGTTTTTTTAAATCCCCTCAAAAGATGAAACTCAAAACTCAACTCAAAAACAYGAAACAAGAAATCACACAAGAGTTTAATGCTGTCAAAGCAGAGAGCCACTGAACAAGGAGGCTTGATTTATAATTGGCAAAGCACATTCAGTCCGGTCAGGATTATCATCATGATGAGAAGGCTTAATTTTACCTCATACTTGCATATTGTTAAGAGGCACACTTGAATCCTAAGCAATARCAGAAGTCAAAGAAGGACTGAAGAGCATATACAAATGCTGAGCCTTGTTGAGGCAGGCTGAGAGCAAGGCTGAAAGAAGCCCTTTATTGTAGTCTCATGAATGGTATCACAGACCAATGAATCTTGCAAATTTGTCAGAAGCAACACAAAGAAAGAGAGAAAAAGCTGAAAACGTTATAAAGAGCCTCTAGTTTATTTTCACATCTAGAAAGTAATTAGGAGACAAAAAAAAAAAAGGAAGGCAAGTAATGTCCTATGACAGGCTCTGGGAAGATCTGCAAGCAAGTCAAAGTACCTCAGTGGCCATGAGTGACATGTAAAGGCAGCTGAGGAAGGTTTTTTTTTWAAAAAAAAATGAAGTTCAACTATTGTGCTTCTTAAAAATACAGATATATCACAGTACCACAATTAGRCCAAAGTACAGCCCAATGTAAGTCAAGAACAGCAAAGAATCCCAAATAAAACATACAAATTCTCAGGCTTCTTTCCCCACAGCAAATATATACAACCAATAGATGATAGCAGGCAAAGTACAATTTAACATTATGAAGTCTATGCTGACATGAGTCATTGTATAACTTTGCACTTGGTCTTATTTCTCAGCTCTAGTATGTTCTGTTTATAAGTTTAAAGAAAAAAGTATTTTCTAGTCTGACCAACAGAACACAAGCAAATCTTGCCCACAGATCACTTCCGCAGGAGCAGAATTACAGTTTCACAGCTTTCAATGGGTTGAAGAAGTAAAACTGCTCCAAATTTTAATAAGATTAAGCTTACCACAAAATCGACTTCATTTTGGCTACACTGGTTTGCCAAGTCAGTAAGTTTAAAAGTTCTAGTAGTCATTCAAGTCAATGAATTCAATGAACACATGCACATGATACAGAGATTTGCAAGGAAAGGCAAGTGAGGTTTCTCAAACAGAGTTTCCCTACATTTGTACATATCTCCATATACTTTTTACATCTGCTGCYCCAGCATGCTCCTACCATATGACACTCACACAGTTTAATAAGGGCTAGAGCTCTTTCAGACTCTCAAGCAGCAAGATCTCTTATAGTTTCTTTCCTAACATAAAGCACCAGTGTACCCCAGTCATACACCATGTCAGTCCAAATCTCACTTCCTCACAAGAAAATTCTCATTAACAAAAATCTGATCTCTCTCTCTCTCTCTCTCTCTCTCTCTCTCTCTCTCCCCCTCTTCCTAAGGAATTGAAATGTTAACACTAAACTTCATGTGTTTTTTCCCATTTCAAGGAAATAAAGTAGGATTTAAAAGAGAAATCAAGGGAAATATTAGACATCTGTATCTTCTTAACATATATGCAGAGTTATTAAATACATTTTAAAGATTGTGTATATGTAGGGTATGAAGATATGGTTGTTTAATATTGGATACATTCATTTTAAAGAGAGAGAGATTGAGATTGAAGGCAGCATGGCTGACAACTCAAGTAAGAGTATGAAAAAGGAAGTATCTATAGAGGATACCAACATAAAATGCAGTTCAAGAAGCCTGTCCGGAAAAAAACCCAATCGCTACTCTACTACACAAAACTAATCGTTTTATGTTTTCTCTTTCCAGTACCTAAATCCTTAAGCTTAAAACAATCCATGAACTCAACCATACCTAATTCTCAACATGGCCACAGTCAACATGATCTTGTTTCTCCTCGCTATATTGCACAGAGGCAGCTGGTGGCCATTTCTCACTAGCCTGATGCTACTGCCCAGTCATGTTCTCATGACACCGAATGCCCAAAGAAATCGATGGCCTACAAACCATCACCTTACTCTTCAAATGATCATTTCCAGGGACATAGCTCCCATAGGCAGAAGTTATATTAAGTCACATCTGTCACTGTCATATAGACAAAAATTATTCCTGCAAGAGATAACCGTTAATTAACTTGTTATTTATTACTGCATATAAATATTTTGTTTCATTATTACAGCATATTAAATCTTACAGGCTTCTCCTATCTCTACTCATTTTACTATCTGCTTTTGCAGTGGGTACACACGTTTCCTGTTCTGAAATACATAGAATTTAAGTAAATCCAGTCACAAGCATGAAGCATATATCCCATGGGAAGGGGGAAGAACTCCACGTCTTTTCACAAAGTAATTTCTCCCTATAAAAAGGCTTTTTACCCTCTCTGTCAAAAGCATATGAAGTAAAATTTACAGCTCAGGAAATAACTGATCTTGGTCTGAACAGATATCCCCTTTTAGGACTAAAAATGGAGAAATTCCATTCTCCAAGCTCAGTAGGAGCTTAGTAGGATACAGTTACAGAAGGTCCAGGAAGAGTTAGGCTTGTTCCTTAGCTTTCAAYTTTTAGCTCCCGAAGAAAGGAGAAAAAAAAAGTCTCTATTTATAACCCTGCTAACCCTTTCACTTCTAGAGTTCTGCAGAAATAAATACCTAGGAAATGAAATACACACCACACTTGGAAGGAAGAGATATCTAGATTTTGTGTTCACAATCATACAAGAGGGTCACTATTTAAAGAAAATAAAAGGAAAAAAAAAATCTGTGTCACATGGTAGCAGTACAGCCCTGACTGAAATGTAGCAGCAGCAGTATACATAAAGATAAGCTACATACAGGAAAAAAATCACATTTCCTTAGATGCTATTCAGGAAGGTGAAGTAGAACACTTGGTACTTCTTCAGTCTACAGCAAATGCATGAACTGGTCTGAATTCTGACTTACTCGCATGCTTCTGCTTCCAACCAGGAAGTTTCTGCTTTTTCAGGATGTCAGAGTAAGCACATAAATAAGAGAAATGAAATCATAGTGTATTTATAAGGTAAACAGTCAATTACACCTAGAGGCTACAGAAATACCTTCTGTTTCCAAATACCTGGTGACAAGCCTTGCCATACCCAATGATTTCATAAGCAGTCAATCAAATAACACAAATTCATAGATCAGCCTTTCCTACTTCAGATGGGCAATCAGGAGGCCTCCACCTCTACTAAAAGCCTTCCAAAGAGCAACAAGTAAATTAGAGTAAGCAAAGTGAGGTGTTCTGCAAAGAATTATGTGCAATGCAGTAGCAGTCACACCGTGAAAACTGCATCTTTAAG